ATTTTTCACTTCTTCCCAGAACTAACCTTCTCTTTAAACCCTTGACCCACCACTATACCTAACGCTGACCTAACCGGAAGCCATATTGCAACCCTAATCCCTAGACCTTCCTTGAAACAACACCTGAAGCAAATGTCGACAGAGTAAATGCTGGGTCCCCATTACATCATTCTCTCAGTATTCTTGTATGTGTTATGTGCTTTCTGTTGTAAGAAGATACAAACATGTATTATTATGTGCTATCGACAAACAAATGCAAGAATGTATGGCGATATATATCATTTACCAATACATGTACAGTCAAACCTGCTTTAGTGACCACCTGTCTGCAAAGACCACCTGTCTACAAAGGCCACATTTGTTGTTTCCCTTGAAAATGGTTTCTCATTGAAACATGTACTGAAGGAACCTGTCTACAGAGACCACCTGTCTACAAAGGCCACTTTTTGTGTTTCCCTTGGGTGGTCGCTATAGACAGGTTTGACTGTATTATCAACTTGAGCCTGGAACTTTAGCCTATTAATTTATGCCTTGAATTGTGTGTAGATTATGATACTGTACAAATGTGCGATTGTTAAAAACAATATGGACGAATTACCTGTATATATTCTCCTTTGTACATTTGTAAAACATTTGTTTAATGAAGCTTTGATTGGATATATTTTTTAAGTGGAAATTCTATTCCATCAGTTGGCAATGAAATATATTTTCATGTTTCTTTGATTCAGTTTGATGATGTTAACTGAGAAGAAGAACAAATCTGCTCTCCCATAGCTGCCAATCAATTCTATTTTGGAGGAATGAATCCTAGATTACTTTACTCTCTCTTTTTATGGAAATTTCTGTGTAAATGCATTCAAAATGCACTGTATTCCTAATTGTGTCTCTAGAGATTCAAATGAATGCTTTCCACTGAAATCTAAATACACATCTTAAAGGAGACGTACTTAAAATACTGTTCCTATCTTTTGCATGCTATTTCATAACTCTTCTTGTAAATATTTGCCTGAAAAGTTGTATACGGATAAATGAACATCAATAAAATAAAAATAAGGGTTATTAGTATATATATACAAGGCCAACCTGAATATCCCCTTCGACAGGAGTGCCTTTTGAAATTCTTGTGTTTATTATTCAAGAAACTGATGTAAAAGCAAATGTAATATTTGTTTGCAAGATTTGTAACATTGTCTGATTCTGTGCAATAAATGATTAATTTCACATGTAATTCATCTCATCTACGATATTCATTTTATGTTTGGTGCCAATTTCTTGAACTAGGTGTTAAGTGCTGTAAATGCATTTTACTGTTTGACTGATAACAAATCAAACAACACAAATATTATTAAAGGGATAGTTGAGTTCTGTTGCAGAGGGCGCTACACAAAATATTTTTTTTGTGAGATAATGAAAAAATGAGTGTCAAACTTGAAAGAACATCCAATTTAAAAGACAAAATCATCTTTTTTTTTTTTATCCATAAATATAACGATTTCTAATACTTGTGTAAATATTAGATAATTTGAAAAAGCCGTTGAAAAAACGAAATAGCGCCGTTTACGTCGTATTTCAGCCAATGTCGATGTTGGCATTTTCGTGTTGGTTATATTACGCACAACCAGCCGGCCCATGTATTGTTATTTTTAATTAATTAATTAACGGTGACCATATTTTGGGGAAAGTGGAGCTGAATTGGTACGATCGTATTGGCTAAATTTCACACATTTTGGGGTCTAAAATTACCTTCATAGCATTTTTAGGTCCTAAAAGGGCACTAGATATGTCATAGATATTAATAAGAGCAATAAACATGCACTTTGAAGGCATTTACGGTCTGAAAACAGAACCCAACTATCCCTTTAAGGTGAACTTTTCACATTGTTCAGTTGTGGAATTTAATTTTGAGGAAACTGAACTTCTTAAAATATTTGTAGATTAATGCAAAGAACTTTTAATTAGATTTTTCACTTTTTGGCAAACTACGACCAGAACTAGACTCGGATCTCAACAATATCAGTGTGCATGGCCCTTGCCTTGACACACAACATCCTTTGCTATCCAGTTTCTTAAATAATTCACAATGGGATTAACCAAATATCGTGTTGAGGAACGGTAGATGCAGAGCATAATTACAGTAACATGGAAAGACACCCTACATCTCTCGACAAATATACTGTAAATCCAGAAATATTCACAACATCAAAGCAAGTTGGTTGCCATTCATTTATTTTGCAGTATGAAACTGAACCACTCGCACAATTTGCGAATATCGTGTGGAGATTTGGGTTTCCTCTTCAATATTGAGGACTTAATTATAGGGTATATGAGATTTGTAATAACAAATATGAAGATTTGATTTGTTTTTGTAAGAAATTTATTCACAACTTCTGAATGATTCACATATGCACAAAGCGCTATATACATAATACTAAAATAACATGTCCTTTTATAGATATCTACATGACATAATGTATCTACAGGGTAACAATGTACAATTGTTTACTGGCAATGATATACACAACAACAAAAATGAAACAAAATAAACAGAAACAACCCCAAAATTAGCTGGGTTAAAAAATGTGCGATGCTTCCATGGTCCATGTATTTAAAAAAAAAAATGAAGGATCACTCCTGTAAAATTCACAATATCTTAATAAATGTAGTTCATAACAAAACAGATGAAAATTAATGATACCCATGTGGGTACCACTAACCTGATCCTTCAAAAACATAAAAACAAAACAAATGCATGAAAATGGAACACTTGTAAAAGTAAAGAGCGATTCCTAACACTACAGTTATCCTTCTGAATACCAGGTTCCAAATCTTACACTCTAACATGTAGACGAATCAAATAACGCCATGTCCATATCTCATTTCATAAAAAAATTTAAAATATCAAATTTCAGTTCAATATAAGGATTTAATAAGATTCACATTTTTTTAGATACAACTGTATAATGGTTACACGAAGGTAAATGATTGAAATCTTCATGGATATAAATCACTGATATATAATAGGGGCGTTTTAGAATTATTGTCAGAACACACATAAAAATATGTAACGGTAACTTGGGCTACATGGCTTTGAAATAATAATAATGGGTTCTTGTATAGCGCTCATATCTGTCAGACTTGACACTCCTGGCGCTCCACATTTATTACCCTGGCTTTAGCATGGCTGCCATTACGGCGATGTAGCATTTCAAAGAATTAATTCCTACCAGGTACCCATTTACATCACCTGGGTCGAGTGTGGCAAATGGAGATTAAATGTCTTGCCAAAGGACATTAGGTGCCACGGCGGGACTCGAACCCGCGGACCTTGTGATCCTTAGTCCGGTGACGTATCCACTAGACCACCACACCTCCACATAATAGAGAGGTCCAAGCTTCAAAAGCAAGTACAGGAATGCACTTGGGTAAGCTATCCCATGGCAAGGACTTGAAACTGTAGGTCCCCTAAGTTGCTTTCCTAATAAGAGTAAAAGTTGCTTTCCTAATAAGAGTTAAAGTGGCTTTCTTACAATTTGGTACAACATACCATACACCGTGAATCCCTCACAAACTGATAGTCGAAAATTAAAAGAGCACACATTAGAATACTGCTTTGGATTTAACAAAATTCCTCTGATATCACCTTACATAACAGTTTATCAAATTTGGACTTTAACAAGAAAGAGCCTTATACTTGTATTAATCTACACCACTGAATAAACAAGTATTCTTGTTTTAACCACCATCCATCTCCTGCTATTCAACAGAAGAAGATAGATAAGCATTGGTAATCGGTAGAGCTCCTGGACTTTTGGAATAAGACCAGTTCAGTGTAATGATCAACAGTCCCCTACAAAGTGTATGTTGAATATCATTTAATCACTTTTATAGCTCAACTCCTAGACAAATGACATTGACGGAAAATGAAATGTCAGGATAAGGTTGACTGTATAATATGAATAATTCTATTACTCCTTAACCACAAAGACACTACCTGTGATACTTTAATATCTCTTACAAAGAAAAAAATGCTTTCTTTCCCATTCAACAATTCTCTCGGAACTGCCAGAGTATCCTTCTCAGATGAATCCCCTGGAAGGTTACAACCACATCCTTTCAGAGATACCTCTTCACTTATCCAGAACTGCATTTGACAATGATAGTATCCTTGACAGACAAACGGCATCAATATCTTGAAAGATTACATCAATGATCATACAGGAAATCTATTTATTTCAAAATTTGATAGTCTTATATCTTCTAAAAGTTCCTATCATTCGTGTCAACAGCTCTCTGGTAAAAGCCAGTCTCTTTAACAGACACATGAATCTCCTACATTATCATTCTGAAACAGGTACATCTCGCCGCTTCTTCAGAAATATCTTTGACAATCACACATCGTTACCGACAACAAATGGCTCCTTTTCTCTTCTTTTCTCTGTGAACACCTAGAATCCTGTGAACTACCATATATTCCAAAACGTTGTGCAGATTTCTATCCAAAGACACTACAACACTTCTTCAGAAAATACCACAGACAATTAGATATTTTTGGAGAACAACTTCTTCGCAGAAGACCTTGACAATTAGATGCCTTTGAGAATCATACTACCTTGGACAATTAGATATCTTTCTGAATCAGGAACATCTCGTCACTTCTTCAGAAATATCTTTGACAATCACACATCATTATCAGAACACAAAGTGGATCAGAATTATCAGACGTGGTGGGGAGGATGTCAATCCTTTGGGAGGGTATTCTTATATAGCGTCAAAGAACAGGGAAGTTGAATAGATATCTTTCGAGAATTGTTTCTTCTAAAATACCTTTGACAATTAAGAATATCTGAGAACAACCTTTGAAAATTATCTTTAAGTGCAACTTCCTGTCAATCTACCTCTCATTATATATGACCATCCGCACTCCTCTTGACAAACATATCTTCCAAAATAGTTTGCAGATTATCATCAGCGGATACATCACTTCTTCAGAAAATACCTTCGAAAACAAACTCCCTTTTAAGAAGAAATTCCCTTCATAGTCTTAGTGACTGACTGATCTTCTAAAAAATCCAGGAACTCCTCTCTCTCTCTCACTTCTTCATCTTCTGTCCTCTTGAGTGGAGCATGGGTTTCTTGGGGGCCTGCCACCGGAGACAGCTGGTGTCCACCGTCAGTCTGGGCCTCTTGTACTGGGCGCTCTTGAGGTGTTCCTCCACCAGCTTGGGGGTGACGCAGATCACGTGCTGCCCCTTCCAGTACTTGATCATGTTGAGAGCCTGGAGGGTGCTGATGATGTCCGGTTGCGTGATGCTCGTCATTTGGCTAGAGAGGGGATAAGGGAATACAGAAAAACAAAATGGTTTAAAGCCCCACTGCACCACTTTGTAGCTACTTGCGCCCTCTATACAGCCAACAATGCCTAGCCAGTACCCGTTGATCCCCCATGATGCCCTTTCTCTTACGTTAATTGAGAGCTGATTTGATGAGATAACCACCTGCCAGTGACATTGCAAGGAAGTCTAATCCCTCTATGTCAAGCTAGTGCAGAGGGGGCTCAATAAAGCATGTTTATTATTATTATGATAGAAATATATAAGTAGAGGAACAGAGAAGCTGAATAGATGAGAGAAAGAGAGAATAATAAAATACAGAAGACATGTACATGCATGAATATCTTACAGATGCAAGGAAGCATTGTCTCATGTTTCATAGTCAACGCTTGCATGTCTAAAGCAAGGATTTTGCTAAAGAAACAATTCATCTTCTGTTGAGAGCCAGAAAGGCATTCACTAATATACTTTTACATAAAGCCAATGCCCTTCTGGCTCCAAATAGACGATATGCGATCTCTTCTGCTCTTAGGTGAGAGTAAGGCATTGATTCTCTAGTCCGTCTTGATGAACTGTTGATGTTAAAGGTAAAGACCAGTATTGGAAACGCCCCAGTTTCAAAAAATGAAATGGAAGCTCTCATTACCAATCATGTGAAAGAATATGTTTTGACTAATACATGATGATAAAAAATTTGCCGGGAAACCGCCTACTAATTCATATATTTGGTAAATTTGTTTCTATCATGGTCTGTGAGAGATATAGGGTAGTCCCATATACATCTTTCTGTGTATAGTGCTTGTAACTTTACAAAGAATGGGCCAAATTTCTTATCATTTTGATGATTCCAGAACCTTGCAGATGCTAGATGCTAGATGATCAACCTTTTCTGATCGATTCCACAACGTTTCTTTCACAATGCAATCGCATGACCATAACTGGTCTTTACCTTTAAAGGTAATACAAAGTTTTGGTATGGGATCTTGAATTTGGTACAAATGAACATATTGGAAGCATATGCGATCCTACAATATTCAATGATCGTTGTCGCGGTTGAATTCGGGTCCGAAGTTATAAAATTGTGAATAATAAACTCTTTGTTGTATAGCTCCCTCTCAAGGTCAAGCTATTAATTAAGCTATAAAACAATGTTTCTTGGCTAAAATCGACCGATTATCTATTCCCGTTTGAAAATTATATATCACAACTACATATTCTGAGATTTTCATGGTCACATGCTACTATTGTTCGGCTCTAGGCGCTATTTGAAATTTATTAAAATTTACCGGGAGCACCAGTAAATTGTTATATTCAATTTTTCTCAAAAGCAGAGGTGCTTTAGGGGCTAAATTTCTAGTGCTTATAATATATCCACAGGGGCATCCAAATATATCAAAATTGTAAAGAATCACTATCCACCCAATTTTCTAAATTCCCCAAAACTTTGTCTTACCTTTAACCTACTTGATTAGCAGTCTCCCCAAAATGATAGACCCAAATGACAAATCAAATCATCTATAGCGTATTACTTGCAAATAAGGTCAACATATCATTATCATCTTCTGAATATCACTTTTGTCTATTCCACTACAAACTATCTAAGATTCTTTTTTTAAACACAGGTAGTAATACCTCAAGATAGTCTACTATTTCAACATTGCCTCAGTAAAGTACTATCTATCCTCACATCCAAGTATTTCTTGGGTTTCAGACAGGGATAACTAAAGCATCATTGGCAAGTGTCTTTAAGTTTGCACAAATTGCAACTTGTATTTTGTGATGGCTACATCTATACTTCATGGAAATTTCTTTGAGCAGTATCACCAGCATAAATATATTTTGTGTACAGTTAAGTCTTTCTATGTAAAGACTTGCAGTCATTGTAGCAGTACAAATAATTGTGGGTTCTTGAAATGTTTGGCAAAATTATGACCCCAGTCATGATCATGATAGTCATAGCAGTAAGTCATTGCAGGAGACATCATTATCATTATACTTGTCATCATAGTCATAATTGTTCACCCTTGATAATTTCTTTCTGAAACTTCTCATGTTTCGTAGGAGCAACGAAAACCAATATCTTCAGACTATTTTCTACTACACAAAGAATTATGAGAGAAGCCTAGCTCATTCTCTGTCCATCTGTCTCTCTCTCTCTCTCTCTCTCTCTCTCTCTCTCTCTCTCTCTCTTTCCCTCTCTCTCTCTCTCTCTCTCTTTCTCTGATTTCACTCACCTTAGGTCTCTGATGGACAAAGTTCCTTTGAAGTCCCTCAGAATCTCCAAGAGAACCCAAGACCAGTAGCTGCGATAGCTTAGCTTCCCAAGATCAGATAGTGGTTTCTCCGGTGAGCCAACGCAGTTCTCTAACTTGGACAACTCATAACCTAACAATAGAAAGAGAAACTCAATTAAACATCGACTCAAATATATAATTCCTTATGAATTACTCTCGAGCCGACAATTTTTTATAGCTTGGACAACTCATTACCTAAGAGAGGAAGAGAGAATCTACATTGTCCTTTGCTTAAAATAAAGAATTCCTTGCAATTTCTCAATACCATTAAAAAATTCCATTCTAAAAAGATAAAGTTCCTAAAAACAACGAAAATAATTCAACCTTCTTTGCCTCAGAAAAGTACAATATATCCTCACATCCAAGTACGGTAGTACTTGGGTTTCAGACAGGGATAACTAAAGCATCACTGGCAAGGTCAAGTAGTTAAAAGTAGATAGTTTGATTTTATTTTCTTCAAAATACAAATACTGCCCTTTGCTTAAAGAATTCCTTATAACTTTATTAAGCACTGACACACTCCTCTAGCTTTGAAAGACCATCTAATCGGAAGAGAGTGCTTTAGAGACAGAATTCCTCCCGACTTTGTTAAGTTCTATTATGACAACAGTACGTTAGTAAAATAGATGCAGTTAAAGCACTATCCAGACCTGAGCTCATTACCATATTTTTGAAGCATAAAATAGGAATCAATAACATGTACCGACATGAAAATTTTCACTTAAAAAGCACTGTAAGATTAACAAACATGAAAAGGTTTGACACAGTTCTTGGCATAATAAAGTCCTGTTCCTTTAAAGCCTGTCTGCACTAATTTGGCCAGGGCGGATTAGACCGGATTGTGCGGTCAATGACAGGTGGTCATCTCATCGATTCGGCTCTCAATTCTAAACATAAGAAAAAGGGGATCATGGGGGACAAACGGGTATCGCTAAAGCATTGTTTGCTATATAGAGGGCGCAAGTAGCTATAAATTGTGCAGTCCCGCTAGAATGAATTTTATCAGATATCAGGGAAAAGTTGGTGATAGAAGGGGAAGGATTTCAAACTTACTGAATGCGATGAGGAATTTGCCATATCCTTTCCTCTGGAATGGAGGTAAGATGAGAATGCAAGCTACGTTGTTACCATCCGGCGATTCCTTCTCCTGAAAATCATCAGAAAAAAGACAAATTAATCATTAACAGTCAAACCTGCTGTAGCGACCACCAGTATAGAATAACCGCCCGTCTACAAAGACCACATTTTAATTTCCCTTGAGTATCAGTTCTCATTGAAACCTGTACTAAAGGAACCTGTACTTAAAGACCACCTGCCTATAAGGAGCATTATTCTTGCCTCCCTTGAGCTATTTTTATATACAAACTTCAGTGTATCAAATGACCATTTAACTACACTTTTTTTTTACTACAATTACCTAAGTGGTCTTGTGCATGTCCCCTGTGATCTTTCCAACAAAGATCTTCCTTCGCAGAAATGGACCCTTTTCTGCAGGCCTCTCTACACGGAGACTGCTTCACCATTTCTCAAATGACCACTGAACTACACATAAATATTTACAATCACCATTTTACAACAACCCAACAAAAATACAGCTTTTTAATAACTGGTCGTGATCTACAAAGACACATTGATTTAAAGTACCTAAAAACATGAAGAATGCAGGAACTTTACCATTTAAAAATCATATACATGAATCTACACAAATATAATCATGAAAAAATCCTAAACATGTAAAGAACGCAATGCCATCAAAATATTTCTTTACTTAGTCTTAATCTAAATAGATATATTGATGTAAATGTAAAGTTCCTAAAAACAAGGAAAATAATTCAACCTTCAAAGGGTTTTAGTCATCTCTTTGCCTCAGAAAAGTACAATATATCCTCAGATCCAAGTAGTACTTGGGGTTTCAGACAGGGATAACTAAAGCATCATTGGCAAGAAAGGTCAAGTATTTGGAAGTATATATTTTGGTGACCTTAATCGACAGGTTTGACCTTACAATGAGACCATTCTATCACTATGAACATGACGGAAAAAGAAAGCGGACAAAATATACAGTTCCTCCTTCTACCCTCAACAATTGCTATGGTAGACAAAGGAAACATCCCTTCACTGCTGGTATGTAACAATGTGTAGAACAGGTGAATATGCATGTGACACCTGTTCTACAGATTTTTACATAATAGCAGTGAAGGGATCTTCTTTTGTCTACCATGTAGCAATTGTTGAGGGTAGAATGAGGAACTGTATATTTTGTCCGCTTTCTTAGTACGTCATGTTCATAGTGTATGTTACCTTTGAGAAGAATCCAACGAGATGGGCGCCGTGTCTGTCAACCTCTGTCAGGATGTAGAAGAGGAATGGCTCTACGTCAAAGTAGAGCGTCTTGTGATCCAGGAAGAGCTTGGCAAGTAGACACATGTTTTGGCAGTACAGCTGCGAGTGAGAAAAGTATTAATAATAATAATAATAATATTGAATATTTAGGAGCACTAAAAACAATAAGTACCATAGCGCTTACAAATACAAATATACAAAGAAAAAAATGTACAGTCTTACATGAAGTATATCACATAGATCAATGGGGAAAAAGGGAAGTTTTGAAGGAACTTTTGCAGGTGGCAAGACAGGTAATTATGGGAAGAGGGATGCTGTTCCAAGTCTTCGATGCAGGTACTGCAAAACGTTTTTCAGCTGCTGAGAGTCTAGATTTGGGAGTGATAAGTTTACATGTGTCGGTTGCTGAGCAAAGATTACGAGTTGATGTATATATATTTGGAGGGTGTCATTCAGATATTCAGGTGTCAAATGATTGAGTATTTTGAAATAAACCCTGCACTTAGTGCACTAAACTGCCTAATTCCTCTAAAACACATATCTGCTTGAGAGTCATCAAGCATGTTCTCTTTGCCTCAGAAAAGTATTATCTCTCCTCAGATCCAAGTGGTACTTGGGTTTCAGACAGGGATAACTAAAGCATCATTGGCAAGAAAGGTCAAGTAGTCAGAAGTAGATAGTTTGATTTCATTTTTACCTAAATACAAACACTGTTACACTCTTTTCCAATATCATTGTAACCACTCTCGTAACTCGTTAGGAATGTACATGGCTTGAATTCATGCTGAGCTGGAATTTGTTCATGGGTGATTGATCAGCTATCTTCACAAAGTGGCAACACTGGTATCATTCTTTTATAGCTACACTTTTCATATCAAAAGTCATATGTCCAAAAACTGTATAATGATTAGAAAAGCTGCAAATGATCGAATTTGTATGGAAAACTAACTTTTCAAAATATTGTTAATTAAAGTATTATATGTACTATTTACAAATACCCTACATCAAATGCCATAAACGCAAAACGTCTGTGCAGCAATGTTTCCTTTTTTATTGTTTTATATCAATGGTATATTTTCTAAAACTCTGAATCAAAAGGTTTTGCAAATGTATTTAGACCCCCTGGTTGTACTCTAAATCAAACTTAATTTTCAAGTTCAAAGAGTTTTCAAAGCCCCACTGCACTACTTATAGCTACTTGCGCCCTCTATAGCAAACAATGCCTAATCGGTGACACTTGGTCCCCATGATCCCCTTTTTCTTATCTTAATTGAGAGCTGATTTGATGAGATAACCACCGGTCAGTGACCTTGCAGGGAGGTCTAATCCCTCCTGGCCATACTATTGCAGATAGGCTTTAACTCCTGTGAATCACCGTGACACAGAGTCAGTAGGATGCACATTATTTGACTCTGAGCTATGCCGTTCTTGCTCAATCACTAGACCACTTATCAGATACTGTGCAAGGAATATTTGTATAAATACCTTGTGGTCTTTTCCGTTGACTTCGTACACTGAGATGGAGCCTCTCCTGTAGATCTCTATACCTGAAGGCTGCTTCAATAAGCAATCACCCTGGAACAAATAAAATACAACAATTAACATTTACCAATAATTTATTTTACCTGCGTTATTGTTGTGTAGCAGGCAAATGCTATTTGACTCCTTAAATGTATGCATAGGATTAGGAATAATTTGTAGGTGTTGCTGAGTATGAGCTATACAACAATAACAGTAATCAATAATTCATTTTGCCTGCATTACCGTTGTGTAGCTGGCAAATGATATTTGTCTCGTTATATGTATGCATTCTTATGTTAGGTAAGGACTGCTGTCTAAGAGTAAGAAGTAATTATGCATAGAATTAGGAATAATTTGCAGGTATTGCAGAGTAAGGTTTGGTAGTGGAGGTTTGTGGAGTCATTCCAACTTGGGCCTTCGTCAAGACAAAGTTCCAATTTGTGTGTTATCTGTGTAAATGTTATGTAACGTTCAGTATTTAGTCCTTGGGCTTTCTCTACCCTTGCGCTCTTCCAATTACAAATTGTGAAGTTGCCTCAGAAAAGTACTAGCTGTCCTCACATCCAAGTATTTCTCAGAATTTCAGACAGGGATAACTAAAGCATCATTGGCAAGTTTCCCTGTGTGATTAAACAAATGTCCTACAGCATTACAATGCATTGACAGATTTTTAAAAATTTTACAAGCACTCTGCTTCTTTGAAAGAGGGTTGTAGGCTATGATGAGCTATAGGGTGTGGTAGTGGAGGTTTATAGAGTCATTCTAGCTTGCAACTTCATCAAGACAAAGCTCAAATTTGTGTGTAATGTTAATTTTGCAAAGGATCTGAAGGTTTTTCTAGAGAATCTAGACTCTGCTCACCAGGTGCTTCCTAAAGGTCTTCTCAAATCTCATGTACTTAAGGCAGTATTCACAGATCCAGAGCTTGGCTTGCTTGCCGTAGTCGTCCGGGAAAGGCGAGAAGTACCAAGCATCGATCTCGTACTTGCCTATCTGAACCCTGTTGACGTACTTGACTTTGGTAATCTGGGCATGAGAAAATGACAGAGGTTAAAACCTAATAAAGACGAGATATTTTTATAGTGCTGGTAATTTCAACATCAACAATGGTGCAGAGATGCCATCCTCTTGACAAAAAAAAAACAGACTTGAGTATCCTTAAAAAAAAAATCAGATTTTCACGTAAACTCGACACTACCATTGGCACGTTGGACCTGGGCCAGTAAAATTTCAGGAAAATGTTATACTGGTAAGAACGGTCAAGTAAAATGTTTGCTCTTTCATTAAAATTTAATGAGAAAATTGTAAGTCAAATTTTGTTGAGTTGGGGTTGTGGGTTTACTTGTACATCTTTCTATGCGATTCCACGGTTTTTATGGGGATTTTATCTTTCCTTTTTCTTTTTTTATGAAAAATGAAAAATCGTATTTTAAGAGGTGATATCGTATTATCGTATTTCACTCTAATAATCGTACTGGTTGGCATCTCTGATGGTACTATCATGTACAGTGCTCATGTCTGTCATGCTGTGATGTTTCTGGCACTCCAACATGAATACCTTGGTAATAACCACCTGGACAAAAATGTAGCACACTGGCATGTCAGGTATTTATCTTGGAAACTGAACAATTTTCACCTCTTCTTCACAAAGTTTGTTTGTGACTACTTTTTTTTAAAGGGAAAGTCCACCCCCAAAATAAGTTTGTTTCGATAGAGGCAGAATAATAAGAAAATCAGGTGAGTGAAAGTTTGAGCAAATTCTGAATGAAAATAAGAAAGTTATGAATTATTGAAGTTGTGATCAATCAAATACAAATTGGCAACTCTGTGACTTATTATACAAGCTCTCCTTCATTTGCTTTGTGCATAATATTCCATAAAATCATGTTTTCTTCGTTATTGATGACGGAATATATATTTGTTCCTTGCAGGGGGAGTATAGAAACATATTTGCAATTATTATATTTAGGGTGCATGTATGGTTGAAATTTTTCTTGAGGGAAAATGAAAATTTTAGATTTTTTTAGTACTGAACAAATGGAAGTTGAGCTTGCATGATACGTCATCGAGTTGCCAATTTGTGTTTGATTGATCACAACTTCAAAAATCCTAACTTCCTTATTTTTAATCGGAATTTGCTCAAATTTCACTGACTTGTTTCTCTCATTTTTCTACTCCTATTAAAACTAACTTAATTTCAGGGTGGACTTCCCCTTTAATGGGACCATGCATACATACTGTATATATATGAATGTCATATTCCTGTACACACAAAGCAAGGAGATGAGAATTTGAGTTAACATCTCATCTCCCTGCATCTAAAGTTAAAAGATTCTAAATTTATATGTGTTGATGTATATGAAATACATAAACAATAAACATTAATTTGAATCAATGTAATTGGTTGGCTAACTCAGAAAAAGTACAATCTGTCCTCACATCCAAGTAGTACTTGGGTTTCAGACAGGGATAACTAAAGCATCATAAGCAAGTGCCACTGGATGATTGCCAAAGACATACTGGAAGCCTTTCAAGCCTGAAGCTAACATCCTGACAATGTTAGTTTTATCAGCAAGGTCTGAGGTTTTCGGTCGTTTTACTGTCCCATTGTTACCAAGGATTAAGAAGAATTGGCAGATATTAACACCGCAAGTGTCACTTTCCTTTTTACTTGGTCCGATCCACTAGTAGCACACCTTGATGATGCTGGTATCGTAAGGGAGATAATACCTTGGACTTGACCAGAAATAATCATTTAAAATTCATAGCGGTTTGATAAAATAGCGTGCATCATAAAAATATCTCAGATAGAGAGCATTATACTTATCTGAAAAATCTATTAGTAGCTGATTCTAATGATTTTTCTGAAACACTAAAGTTGTATTTTCTGTAATCTTGAAAAGTCGTCAAGATACACCAGTCATTTAAGATTTGAAATGTACGAATCAAAATTAGGAAATGAAAATAAAGTACAGATGTCCACACTCACAGCTTCATGCTCTCTTTCCAATGCAGCTGTCGTTGGATCCATTTCTGCAAAGCTCTGCGAACACAAAGGGGAAGACAGGAAAAATATTTGTTATGATGCAATAACAGACAAAATAAGCTGGAGACACAACCTCACAACATTTAAATTGTGATAATGGTTAACTAAATACATCACTTGTGTGTCTATGTAACTCCCACTACATGTAATTTCTAGTTATACCAATGGCAGAGCTGCCAACCTTGTGCGACCAAAAAAAGGAATCATGATGGCAAAAATAAGGAATCATGATGGCAAAAAAAAGGAATTTCAAGCAAAAAAAAGGGAATTCATGAAAACAAAACTTCCAATGCAGAAATGTTCATTCATCATGCTGTTTTTTCCATACAAGCAGGAATTTTTTTTGGTGGTTATTTTGGTATTATCGGCATTTCATTCTTTTGGAGAATATTTTTCTTTTCAAGTATGTTTTAAATTTAGTTTTCTGTTGAATTTGTGATAAAATCACCATTTTAGGGCAGTTGTTTGATGCGTGGTATGTAAAAAAATTAAAAAAACATATTTTATGAAGAATAAACGTAATACCGTAATTTGGAGGAAAAACGGAGTAATTCCGGCAAAAACGGAATGGTTGGCAGCTCTGCAATGGTTGAAGGAACAAATTGGTATTATCGGCATTTCATTCTTTTTGAGAATATTTTTCTTTTCAAGTATGTTTTAAATTTAGTTTTCTGTTGAATTTGTGATAAAATCACCATTTTAGGGCAGTTGTTTGACGCGTGGTATGTAAAAAATTAAAAAATTAAAAAAACATATTTTATGAAGAAAAAACGTAATACCGTAATTTGGAGGAAAAAACGGAGTAATTCCGGCAAAAACGGAATGGTTGGCAGCTCTGCAATGGTTGAAGGAACAAATCGCACAGAATTCAAGGAAATTTTTTATCATCAGTCACAAGATGCAACCATGAATTACATTGTCCCACATGTGTATATCCGAGCTGGCACTATTCAGTGCGCACTGCGTTGTAATTCATGAACTGGTTTCACAGGTAAATTTTATGTTATCATACACCAGGACACTCAAGAGCAATCAATACCGGTATCAATAACTTTTGGACAGTTTTTCTTAAAGTACAATTTAATTACCAGAACTCAAGTTTACTTAAAGAAATGCCTCAGTAAAAGTACAAATGTCTACAAATCCAAGCTGTGCTTGGTTTCAGACAGGGATAACTAATCATCACTGGCAAAAATGTCAAGATGCAAGAACCTGGTAATTCTGATACTGTAATACTCACATCCAAACTGTAACAGCAACAAATGACGTTAACATTTTAAAGACTAGATGGAATTTTGACTGCGCGCAGTCGAAAATGATGCCTCCGCCATAGAGCAATTTAAACAAGTTTGGAGTTTAAATCTCCAGTGGTTCTTGAGATATCATGATAACAATCTCAATGTATGGAATTTCATAAGTTGACCTCTGTGACCCTTGACCTTTGACCTACGTGCTCCAAAATCTAATCAGATTGTCTTCCTATGGTGATACACACTATCATTAAGTTTGAAGTTTAAATCTCCAGTGGTTCTTGAGATATTATGATATGGTGATACATACTATCATTAAGTTTGAAGTGAAAATTCTCCAGTGGTTCTTGAGATATCGCGATAACGATCTCAATGTATGGAATTTCATAAGTTGACCTCTGTGACCCTTGACCTTTGACCTACGTGCTCCAAAATCTAATCAGATTGTCTTCCTATGGTGATACACACTATCATTAAGTTTGAAGTTTAAATCTCCAGTGGTTCTTGAGATATTATGATAACAATCTCAATGTATGGAATTTCATAAGTTGACCTCTGTGACCCTTGACCTTTGACCTACGTGCTCCAAAATCTAATCAGATCGTCTTCCTATGGTGATACATACTATCCTTAAGTTTGAAGTTTTTACATCTCCAGTGGTTCTTGAGATATCATGATAACAATCTCAATGTATGGAATTTCATAAGTTGACCTCTATGACCCTTGACCTTTAACCTACGTGCTCCAAAATGTAATCAGATTGTTTTCCTATAGTGATACACACTATCACTAAGTTTGAAGTTTAAATCTCAAATGGTTCTTGAGATATCGCGCTAACAAACTCAATACAAGGAATTTCATAAGTTGACCTCTGTGACCTGTGACCTTTGACCTACGTACTCCAAAATCTAATCAGATCGTCTTCCTATGGTGATAAATACTATTCCCATGTCTTAAGTTTAAATCTTAAATGGTTCTTGAGATATTGTGATAACGGTCAAACGGGACGGACGTACAGACGGACAACCCGAAAACATGATGCCTCCGGCACCACCTTCGGTGGCGGAGGCATAAAAAGTATACTGCGAGGATCTCAAATATTCATAACATCCCGAGCAAAATATTGCTTTTGTGATCCGTCCCATATAAGGATTCCCTTTCAATTTTCTTGTAGACCACAACCATCAAGTTGAAGTGACTTTCTTGCATCATTTTTTGATCCAGGATGTTATTGCAAATAATACATCAGCAATATGAGGAAAATCAGTACACAGAGAATTTTGAATCCCTTTACTCTTGTGCATTGTCCCGATGATGAAGAAACAAGGCTTTTATCAAAATAATCGGTGGCGCACAAAGTGGAATATACAGAGCAATATTTTCATGAACATAATGGTCCGTTTTTTTGTTTTTGTTTTGTAATTTAATTCACATTTGGGTCCTTTAATATATATTTTGATTAGTTGATTTGTCTTCAACTATGTAAAAGTTTAAAAAAAACAAGAATAATGAGTGAGATTTTGAGGAGGTAAAGCCAATTCATTTGGACATGTAGAAAACTCTGTCCTCTGAGATGACCTACTCACTGACCTTCTGAACATGGTTGATCTCGTCGTGTTTTCTCTTCTGGTTCCTGGTGATCTTTCTGTCCGAGTCGTCCAGCGAGTCTCCGGTCTCGGACTTCTGCCTCTCCTGGGGGGGCTGTTGGACGTTCACCTTCTCTTTCCCGACCCACTCGTCCATGCGCCGATTGACTGCATAGGGTACAGGCAAATACAACCAACAAGATTAGTTGTGATTGATATGGTGCAAGGAGGCACGCTCTAGTGAAGATTGCTCGGCGGTCACTTCCCCTACAATTGCCAAAGTCCTTAAAGGTAAAGACCAGTTTTGGAAATGCCCCCCTCTCAAAAAATGAAATGGAAGCTTTTATTACCAATCATGTGAAAGAATATGTTTTGACTAATACGTAATGATACAAATTTTGCAGAGAAACCGCCTACTAATTGATACATTTGGTAAAATATTATATATATTTGGACCAGATAGATATAACGCATGTGTCGCGCACGTGTCATGTAGTCCCATATTCATCTTTCTGTGTACAGTGCTTGTAACTTTACCAAGATTGGGTCAAATTTCTTATCATTTTGATGATTCTAGAACCTTGCAGTACACACCAATACTTATATGCTAGATGATCAACCTTTTCTGATCGATTCCATAACGTTTCTTTCACAATGCAATCGCATGGCCATAACTGGTTTTTATCTTTAACTAAACTCAGGACTGAAAGAATACCTTTTAGCCGAATCCTACATGCCTATTTTACATCAAACTTGATACCCGATATGGCATTCAAACATCCAAAGGATAACAATTCCTATTCCCACTAAGGATTAATTTTTATCCCCCAAGCATTTACATCATACATACCGGTACTGCATGAAGGTTAAAATGGGGCTGTTCTTTTGAAAAAAAGCTGGGCAAAAAGATCAACAAGGATTTCCAAAGTACCTTTAGTCCTGTGCTTTCTCTACTCATGCATTCTTTCAATTACAAATTGTGTGTTTGCCTCAGTCAAGTATTATCTGTCCTCACATCCAAGTATTTCTTGGGTTTCAGACAGGGATAACTAAAGCATCATTGGCAAGTGGTTCCATGTTGAGCAAGTGTCCTTTACCATTACGATGCATTGACAGTTGACCAAGTTTTTTGAAATAACAGTCTGCTTTCTTGAATAGAGGATTAAGAGGATTGTTACACAAGGAGGGGGGGGGGGGGGGTGTACGGGATGGTAGAGGAATTTGCCCCAGTTACCCACTGATTTCGTAACAGACTGGAAGAGACTAGATCTTCCACCGCACTGAATATACAACTGCATTACTTAAAAGGATTGGGTAACTTCGCCTTAGATTCTAAAATAAATCCTAGATTTAGCTCATGCTGTAATTATAACTATAAACCTATAGGTCATAAATGAATCCCATGACTTTTACAAGCCAATCACCTGTCTGATTATCAAGATATCTACGATTGGAATTAGAAATTTCAGAATTCGTTTTCCAAACAGTTTTTGTAACACTAGTCTATTGGGAAAATGAGTATGGTAAAACCGGTCACTCAAAGATTTTTACTTTGATCCTTTAAAACCGCAACTTGTTTAGGGCTTCAATATCACACCATATAACCATAGACGTAATTGAATGGACTATCGACGAAGCAGTTTCTTTGATCCTATGAGTTCCACCGGCAAGGTTTAAATTTCGCGCCGATGCAAAAACCCAGCGGTGATCCCACCGCAACCCGACAGCTGGATGCGATCACTTGCGCAATCTTTCATAATCGCAACAGCAAGCTCGCGATTTGGGGTTGTTCGCTGCTCCTTCAAATCGTTGAGAACCTAGTGTTAAATAGTATGAGCGCTCTCCGCCATGCGGTCGTAGCGAACATGTTTTCGTCTTTGTGCCTGACGATATTATTGTTATTGTTTTCAGCGTTGTATTTATACTAACAATTATTATTTATTTCGATGTGTGTATTGTTCCATAATACATATTTTTCTCGTACTCATGAGTCATGTGTTGTTTATAAAGTAATTAGAAGGGCAGGATTATCATTAGATGACATAAATAAGGAAGAACTTTATGATTATGATGGGCAGTCCATATATCGACGTGGCAGACGACGGAATTGTTGAATATTTTGCAATGGTCAATTCCCAAATTTACGGACACAGATATTTATCCTAATTCCTAGATTCTCAAAAAAAAACGTACACATATAGTAGGCCTACATCAAGATAAAATAAGATAAAATCTGAGGGAAGAAAAAAAAAAGCAGTCACTCTCGGATTAACAAGTCCAAAATATAACTTGAAAAAAACATGCACCCGCCGATCTCTATCAATGGGACTATGTGTGCAATTTGGATTAGACAAAAAACGCACGCAAACGCAACAAATAACAAATGATTGTATTCGACAAACGAAGGATTTTTGATCACCACAACGTCGTTGGTTTCACAGAGAAATTAACGGAAACAGGAGAAAAAAACACTTTTTAAACTGTATTTTGTAAGCTCTTGTGGTGACTTTCCTTGCTTATATGATGAGTTTGCTACACACCAACACAAATTCGTAAAAAATCGAAGAAACCACCGATTTCAACGGCTTTTTTTACAGATTGGCGAGCATGAACAGGACGTAAACCTCATGTTTACATCCGGGGCACTATTGACGTAGTATTTAGCTGCGCATGGGCAGAAGGCTCTCCTGTCACGATTCATTCAGGAAATGAGAAGCGCAAATCGTGGGAAGCATTGGTCAGTGCGAAGCGACTTGGCCGATAGAGGTCGGCAAAATCCCGGTGGATCTCATAGGACCAAAGGACCCTTATCGGAGCTTATCAAAACATGCCCGCAGCGTTGCGGTCAGACTTAAAACATAGAAGAAAGTAAGACATAAGAACAGGTGGTAGCTATCATTACTTTTACTACTCTTGCCGTCAAAAGTCCATTTGTATTACGTCTATGATATAACAGACACTGATAACATGTAGGGCCATGCAGCTCAGATTTAACATTGTTAAACGATGCCTTTAATAAAGTACAAAGATAAACCAAAATGGCCTGCACTATACTCCGAAGTTCTACAGAAGAAAAGTAGAAGAATTAAGATAATTCTTCATTTAAAACTTATCTGCCGTAGTTTACAGGAGAGATTAGACTGCCCTGCAAGGTTACTGGACAGGTGGTTATCTCATCAACTCAGCTCTCAGTTAACATAAGAAAAAGAGGATCATGGGGACCAATGGTCACCGATTAGGTATTGTTTGTTTTATAGAGGGCGCAAGTAGCTACAAGTAGTGCAGTGGGTCTTTAATACTTACGTCCTTTGTAGTGTACATAATACTCCTTCTTGTTGCTATCCTGTTCATTCTTTCTGGTCTGCACAATCTCGGCATTGTCTGAAGAAGAAAAAAAAAATATTGTTAAAGGTAAAGACCAGTATTGGAAACGCCCCAATTTCAAAAAATGAAATGGAAGCTCTTATTACCAATCATGTGAAAGAATATGTTTAGACTAATACATGATGATAAAAATTTTGCCGGGAAACCGCCTACTAATCGATATATTTGGTAAATTAGTTTATCTATTGGACTGTGAGATATAAACGCATGTATCGCGCACGTGTGCGTAGTCCCATATACATCTTTCTCTGTTCAGTGCTTGTAACTTTACGAAGACTGGGCCAAATTTCTTATCGTTTTGATGATTCCAGAACCTTGTAGTACACACCAATACTTATATGCTAGATGATCAACCTTTTCTGATCGATTCCACAACGTTTCTTTCACAATGCAATCACATGACCATAACTGGTCTTTATCTTTAATCCTTTGCAGGCCACTAGTTAATATTGTACAATCCTCTCATACCACATGAGTATGTGTGCACAATGTGAACTAGCTTGCCAAGGAGTCAACACTGAAATTCTTCTCTTTTTTTTTTTACAATGTTACAATCTAAAACAAATATTAGTTGAGTATTCGAAGGTGCACGCGTTGAGGGTCACTTAACAATCAAACTCCCTGTGCAAGCACCTTTTTACACTAATGACTAAGTATTATTCTTAAGTAAGTATCAAATTAGCAGTTTTATGTGTGTAAACAGCATCTCTTTGCATTTCAGCGGCAGCCATACAGACAATAGGCCGGGGTAAAGCTTAGCGACTGTAATCTCAGATCCTCATTAAATTCATGCAAGAACTAAATTCACTTAAATGAATTGATGACGATCATTACGGTCGTTAAAATTAAGGTTCACGTCTTTGTTTTTAGGAAAAATAATTGAAATACACCAAAAAAGATAAGAAAATTAATAAAACAGGTAAGAAAGATACCAACTCTTAGATCATGACCTTTATTTGAATAAGATTTTTGATGTGTTATCAACTTATCATGGTAGTGAGCAGTAGGGGCGCTGGTCCAAGAATAAGGATCGTCTTCGTAAATGCTGACCGATGCGTCCTCAAAAATAAGGATCGTTCAGATTTTGATAGAGACGTTTCATATTTTTGATCGACGCGTTGTCGTTGAAAAAAACGGATTCCGCGATGATTTTCTTGAAGCATTTTACATCTACTTTGTACAGAGACTTTCACATTATGAGCAAAAAAATCCCCAGGAGGACGGACAACCCATAAAAGTAGACAGTGAACTAGATCTAGAGTTATTTTCTTATGCGGAATCCATTTTTCACATCGCCGACGCCAGTGGGCGGTTTGGTAACCCGAAGGCCGAAACCTGCAGAGCTCTGATGAAAAAAAATGTCTGTGAAAATGTAGACGATCCCTATTGTTGAGGACGCATTTTGTCTGCGTTTACGAGGATATCCGTATCTCCACGCTAGAGTCACGATCCAAATCATGAAATGGTCACACTACACTCACACTTATGAACAGAATGAGCCTAATAACCATGTTTATTGTTCACTTAAACTAGGGTGTCTGAACGATTTTTCAATTTTCAATTTGGGATCGTTTTTCACCATTTTTGTTTGATATTTGAATTAAAAATGTAATCAGAATAATACATTTCAAATTTCAAGTCTCGCCGATGTTTCTATCAAAAGATACAGCCCCTTCAAAATGCTGAAATATTCATAGCATTTTGCTCAGAATCGACGAAAAAGACGTACACGCAGAGTTATGTTGTTTTGCTAAATTTAGCCAAACAGCTGTATCGCGCGATATGCAAGCGTATGCATATCGTACGCAAGTTGCTCAGCCAATGCGCGACTTGCAAGCTTGAGCCACGCTGTCTCCGCGATATGTGCCATTGACTAGTATGGGTGGCCGTTCCCGCTATAGAACCCGGAAGTGAATACACGTTGTAGTCAATGGCAATATCGCGGAGACAATCTCCGCGATATTGCCATTGACTACAACGTGTATTCACTTCCGGGTTCTATGGCGAGAATCGGCCACCCATACTTTCATTCACTATAAGCGCACATGTTACGATGTAACCATGGTTTGGACTGAGCGGAGCTCACGCCTCCCTAATTAGCTGATTCCAAAAATGTGGGAAGGGTATTTTCAAACTGTTATAACAAATGATCCCTTGGGGCTAGCGAAAAAAAAAGCATCTGGATATTATCCTTACGTCTAGCCCTGCTTAAGCCGCGGGGGCGCAGCTCAGGAAAGTGGCAAATTTTGGAGCTAGGATGCAAACAACATTTCAATCGCTGTTTTGACCAAGATATTTTTAGAATTCTGGGGGTGGCCCCCTATGGGGAATATGGAGAAAAACCTGCTCTTTCATATGACACCTCATTTATTGAGTTTCACCTTCAGGATCATTTGTTATAAAGGTTTGAATTTCAATTTTTTTCATAAAATCATTGACCAATTTTGGATGGTCGCGCAATGCACGTAGACCACATAGGGAAGCGTACAATCTCTATGGGAAGGGTTTTAGCACACAACATTGGGTGCGCGATCAGACACCCTACTTAAACTTAACTTCTTAACTTTCAGAGTAATCTACAAGGCCTACGTAGATCTATACATAAGTAAGTAATTCTGAACCACGCATCAACTCAAAACACAACACTAGAGTCTACAAGTAGACTTCTACAACGTCAAGAACAATCACTCACAGTCTCACACACAGCTCAGAGCTGCGCCAGACTTGCAGCGCGGCTCATCAGTTCTTTTAAATTTAGATTGACTTTGTACACGATTCGTCATCCATACTTACGCCACGTGTTGTCGTGCCGCTGTATCAAGTAAGTATCACCGATTTTCAACGAGTTTTCATCATTTTCATTGTCTGAATCATTGGTGCTACCATTCTGTGGCGATGTCACTTTCGAATCCGTGTCTTTCAGTGAAGAATTCATGTTGTTTTCCTGTGCTTTTGTGGAGCCCTTCGCCGAGGGTTTGTCCGCATTCTCGGCCATTTTGCATTGAGGACCGGAAGTGATAGTAAAACGCTCTGTACGTACATGTTACTTCAACACAAAAGTGGATAGACAACGACAACGAAAACGAAACAAACTTTGGATGACAACGACGACTAAAAGTTACAGGGTGGAAAATGAAAGAGATGAAATTCCAAAGAGGAGTTGATAGCCCTAGGACTATGGGGAAGGATATTTAGTAAAATTTATTTCGAAATATTTTGCCCTCAATTGTTGGCAGGGACGGGGTCAAAACCCGGGGGGGGGGGGTATTCAAAATTTAAGACAGTCGGGGTGAGCCGCTCTATTATGGGCAACTTTTTCACACAAAACCCCTAAAAAATGGGTGACGGATCCCATTTTAAACAAAAAATCCCCCTATATATGGGTCTGCCTTTTCAAAATTGTAGGAGTTTTTGCCAGAGGTGACGGAGCCGGATGAGGGGGGCAGTGCCCCCATATTTTGAGGTAACCCTAAAGTGCCCCTTTTACTTCAGATAAGTGCCCCTTTTTATTTATAACAGTTGTCCATTCCACATTATAATAAGTGCCTCTTATACCACCTTTGATAATTAAGTGCCCCCTTCACCTAGTATAATTGCCCGTATTCACATCTGAGAGATGCTCATTTTACTCTAAAGGTATAATACAAATTTTTGGTCATTGCATGGGGTCATGAGTTTGGTTCAAATGAACATATTGGAAGCATAATTATGCGATCCTACAATATTCAGTGATCGTTGTTGTGGCTGAAATCGAGTCTAAAGTGATGAAATTGTAAATAATAAACTATTCATGTTGTATAGCGCCCTCTCAAGATCAAGATTTAATTTAGCTATAAAACAATGTTATTTGACTAAATCGACCGATTTGCTATTACCGTTTGGAATATATATATCACAACTGCATATTCTGAGATTGTCATGATCGTATAGCTACCATCGTTTGGCCGTAAGCGCTATTTGAAAATGTTATATCCAATTTTTCTCAAAAGCAGAATTGTTTTAGGGGATAAATTTGTTAGTGCTTATAATACATCCATAGGGGCATCCAAATATATAAAAATTGTAAAGAATCACTATCCAGCCAATTTTCAAAATGTACCGGGGGGCCGGGGGTGGTTGCTTTCAATAGACTCGAATATGAAAGACCCATGATCACCTCGTGCAAGTTTAGGGCGCCTTTATATGAGAAATATATAAAACCCTTTCCATCATTGTTTTCATGTTGCAAAGTTGTTTACAGACTGGAAAAGGATAAAATGGGACTGATGTAGAGAGTGAATTAATAAACTCAGGAAAGTAAAATTGAAAATGTAAAAAACCTTAAAAAACATGGCAAGAAATAAATCAAATCAAATCAAGTTTTAAATTGGACATGGCTGTGTGGCTAAAGCTACCGGTCGCAGGCTACGGCGCAGCTATAGCTGATCGACCTGACGACGGCAGGTCCCCCCCCCCCCCCCCCCCCCAAGGGCCCTTTTGAAGAATGGCCACTCCCTAGGCTCCCCGATAGTTTTTTCTACGCTGCTCCCCCCCCCCCGCAATAGGTCCCTATTTGTTATTTTTATAGGAATCCATTGACATATAATTGTGCAATGGAACCCTTCTCCTTACATAAACAACAATTGTTATTATATAACTCCAAAATTTTACAAAATGATTTGTTCTTTATTAGATTTTATCACCATCTTCAACAATATTATTATTACATTTCATATGCAATCACAAAAATATTTGAATTAATTGTAAATATGTGGATTGAGATTCTCACACTGCATTTGATTATAGGGTGAATTGGATTCTCTTCACTTGTCTCTTGCTGTCCCTCTTTCTTTCTCTTTCTCTCTCTCTCTCTCTCTCTCTCTCTCATTCGGACTGAAGAAAGTATTGAATGTAATGTTTGATGGATAAAACAGAATTGCTATCCTGCGTGTACTTTGTAAAATACTTTACTTTGTTTACAAGTTCATTGTATCGATCACATAAAAGATTGTCAATAATAATTGAGTGAGATAAAAATGGGTTAAACTTTGGTCTTTTTTCACTTATGAGAATGGAAAAGCAGAAGCGGATCTAGAGGGGGGTTGGGGGGGTTGCAACCCCCCCAAAAAAAAAAAATCCGGGGACCATTTTTTTAAATCTTATCTTTTTTTTAAAACTTGTAATTTTATTTTATTCTATTTCTATGTATTTATTTCATTTATTATTATTATTATTATTATTATTATTATTATTATTATTATTATTATTATTATTATTATTATTTCTTTTTTGGGGGAGGGGGGGGGGGGGTTGGGCGAACAAATGTCACAGAGTCCCTTGCCCCCCCCCCCCCCCCCATCAGCTTTTTTGAGGACACGGGCCACCGCCGAAGTGACAAGCTAGGCCAGCGTTGCCGATTCTCATCCCCAAAATCCCCACATTAAAAAAAAAAAAAATTGGGGGATTGTTGAAGTCTTTGGGGATGAAAAATAAATATTTGGGAATGAAAATAATATTGAGTTTTATGAAAAACGAATTTGGGGATTTTCTGTCAAAATTTGGCAACTTTGGGGATATTTTAAGTGTCGTTTGGGTGGGGATTTTGTGAAGATTTAACCTGGCAACGCACGCTGAGCTGGGCTGCTCATTTCCTGGATTACTTGTTCAAGTTGCTCACTTTTTTATCAGTCTGGTCCGAGTGTAGTGACAAGCAATATGGAAGCAAACAGGGCAAAGAAGTTGCGGCAATCCAGTCTCGCATCTTTTTTTACTGGAAGGTATGTTTGAATCATGCAAAAAAGTTGGCATACAGGGTAAATTACCATACATGGGGGTGTAATACGGACGTGTTCATGCACTGCTTTTTATGGTCTCCATTGTGTTAATAGATGCCAGGAAAACATCACTTACGGGGTTCAAATAAACACCCCCAAAAAAATCGGCTCGCCGCTTCGCGGCTCGTGGATGATGCTCCGCATCGTCATTATTGGTCAACCCCCCCCCCCTTAGCAAAAAGCTAGATCCGCCCCTGAAAAGGGTGCTTAGTTATAAAGGAAAAAGGGCACGTATCAAAATGAAAAGGGCACTCATCAGGGGTGAACAGGAACACTCATCAAGAAATAAAGGAGCAGTTATCAGAAGGGGAAGGGGGCAATTATTACAAAGGAAATGGGGCACTTGTGACTTGTCAAAATAAAACGTGTACCTCTCAGATATGAAAAGGGGTAATTATCAGAGGTGAAGGGGGCACTTCTCAGACTTAGTAATGTGTACTTCTCGTACCTGAAAAAGGGGCCTAATTACCAGTGATGAAAAGGGGCGCTTAAGAGAAAGGAATAGAGGCAGTTGTTGAAGTAAAATGGGGCTCCAATCAGATTTTAATAGGGGCATTAATCAGAGGTGAAAAGGGACAATGATGAGGGAGTGAAGGGGATCTTATGAACAAAATCGGGAGGGGTGCACTTATCAAAAGGAAAAGGGGCACTGTTTCTATGCAAAATGGGACATTTAGGGGGTACCTTAAAAAGTTGGGCATTGAACCCCTGCCGGAGTGCCCCCCCCCCCCCCGAGGGCTGCCTCTGCATATTCCCTTACCCCCTCTTCTGTCAGTCATAGAAACCTGGATCCGTTAACCCCTTCCTCCCTGCTTTCACTCCATCTCTATTTATCTACCGTTTCTCGTTTGTACGAAAGCTTCTTAACATGCTATCTTTTCCACGATAACCCTTTATATTTTTGCTCTCCTGGATCCGCTCCCCTGCTTTCCCTCCCTCTCTATTTATCTACCGGTTTCTCTTTATCTATGTAAGCTTCCAACTGTGCTATCTTTTCCTTCACACGTGTATCCTCTTTTCCACTCTCTCCCGGTCCCTCTGTTCTCTCTTTCTCATCTTCTTTCTTGACTTATCTCATCATTTCTTATTCTCTTCATTGTATGTATGTATGTATGTATGTGTGTTTGTATGTACGTACGTGTCTAGTATGTCTGTATTCTTCAGATAATTGATGTGCAAATGTTGTACGTCTTAATATTAGTTTACAGATACAATCTGCGCATGGGCAGATAAAGGTCATTTGTACCAAAATGGTATTACCCACAGAGATGAATAGTGGATATGCGCTCATAAAAGTTATATAACATTATTCATTTATGCACCAACAGTACATTCTATGATACGCAGGTGGAAGTATTCTTTTCAAGAGGTCAAACAAAAGGTATTCATGAAGCACATCTAGGACTTTGGCAGTTATTATTCTAAGATGTTCAAAGTGGAACTTCTCCATGTGTAAAAGATCTGTGGATATTTGGGGTCATGTGTACCATGTGCTATCTGTAAACTCCCTTTATTCTTATAATTTTGTTAAACACACATGTACCCCGATTCTATGTCATATTGTTAATTATCATTTTGTAAATCTGGGACTCTACCCACAAGCAATTTGCTTCTCAAATCTAGGTGTATCCCACCATTTTCAGAATTTTATTTTATTGCTTTTTTTTGCTTCTGTGTTCACATCGTTTCAAAATGGGAAATAATACGAGTTGAAATTTTTTTAAATTCTTGCTGTCTTGGTATATGTAATCTCCTTCTCATCCCCAAAATAACGTCAGTAAATTTGTCCATGGCTGAACAAGACCCAGAAAATGTTAAGTGCACCTCGCTTTTGTCCCATTTTTTCTGCAACAGATTATTTGAGATGATTTCTAATGTTATCATACCTGCCAACATTTGAAAATAAATAGGAATTTCTAGCACTGTATGCCTTCGAATATAGCAAATTTATACCTTTAATAGGCATTCGCACATGCAGCGGAACTGGCAATAAAGCGTCAATCTGTACAAAAAAAGGCAATACAAATTTGATGCTCGATCATGCAGCCATTCAGCACCTGAGTATGTGAACTCTCAAATCGCAGCACATGATCAAATTTAAAAAAAAAATGAAAAATTGAAAAATCAAAATATTACAAATTTTTAGGTCCTGATAATCCACACAAAAAAAAAATCAGAATATTCCTGATTTTTCTGAAGGG